GCCAAAATTGACGAGCCAGTTACAAACAACAAGCAACAAACTTCAACTTAAATGCCGACCGCACTGTCAAATGTCCAACGCTTGGTTGAAGTTAAAGTTTCAGTTGCAGTTGCCACGAAATTATTTTAATGAGTTGCCAATTAACCTGCAGACAAGCTGATGCTGAAGCTGCAACTGCAACTGCAACTAAAATAGATCGCCACTGTTCGGGCTAATAAAAACGTGGTTGGCAGCCAGAGCAGCACACCTGTTGTGCCAAGGGTTCCCCCTAAAGACCAAAACAAAACCCATTTGGCAGTCAGAGCCAACCATCTTCGGTGCACTTAGGAGGGGTGCTCCATTCTAGAGTAATTTAACTATTTACGAGCCTTCTGATGGCCACATGTGAAATTTGCGTATGCCAGTGAGTGTAATTACTCCAATGAAAGACTACTGAGAGGCAGGCTCTAAAAAAACAGATAGGTATAAAAACAGAGCAACATCAACTAGAGGTAATGGTTAATAAAAACTCCTTATACTTCTTTAAAGCTTTCAGATCTCTGCATCTATTCAAAACTGACTCTACATTCTGAGTTGAATTCCTTCTGTAAGAGTTCGTTTTTTGTAATTGAACTTCAGAATTTAATTATTCTAATTTTTTTCTTTTCTTAAAAAGTCTGTTCCAACAAATTGTAAGAAAAACTTTTGTTCGTGCTTTTCCTTATTTAGGATCTGTCCAGAGTTGGACAATTTTAATTTTATGAGAACTCTTGATTTAAAAACATGTTTCTGCGATGATGACTGCGTCGTGGTTCGAAGCCAGAGAAACTTCTCTCGAAGAAGCTCACATTACTTGATTCCCTCTAAATTATAATTGTCTACCATTTGTTAAATTCTGTTGTGTTTTCTATTCCAAACAATTTTAAAAAGTTATTATTTAAATGGAAATAACACTCGAATACAATTAAGGCTTGATGATACTTTTTGTGAATTAAATTAAAACGCAACTTAAAGGCAATTCAAGAACATAACAAAGTCTTAACACATTCCCCATTCGTTTTATAGTTTTATGTTCAATTAATTTCGACACTTTGTCAATTGTAATTAATTAAAAGAGTTGGCACTTTCTATTAATAAACTTAAGGAAATATTCTAAGAAACCTATTTGACGCTGGAATGCTAAGAATTGTTGTTCTGTTCATTTCTGATATGGTTAGTCCATTAATTGAGTTCACTGTTCATCATCATCATTTATTATATATATATAAATAATATTAGTATTACTTAGAAGTATAGACATTATTTTATCAATTATTCAATTGGATATGCCATCGTGAGAACATCAAACCAAACTGTGTTGTTAATACTCCTGCAAATATTTCCGATTTATATTCAAAGAGAGGCCAAATATTTTCACACAAAATCATAAAATGCTTGAAAACCATGAAGAGCAAATCTTAAAGAATTTATTTGAAATGGAAAACATTAGAAATTATGACATTTGCCAGACTGGCCATGACTTGTTGTGCTTCTTATATCATTTCCACTTGCTGAAGGGCTTGGCTTTTCTAGCACTTGCAATCATAATTAGCTTGAGCGGGGCTTTGAGCCCTCTTTCATCGCAATTATGCTAGGCTTTAGGAACTTGTATTTAAGCACGTACTCAGATATGCAGAACAACATTACAACAATTACGCCACATCGTCTTCATCTGGATAATGGATGCGTGTCCAGGATCTTTGTGCAACCTGCGCCATAATTGAGCGCTAAATAATTTATTAACAGTTAAGCAGCATTCGAAATACATGCGAGTATGTGTGTGTGTGTGTGTGTGTGTGTGCGCGCATGCAACAGCGCAGCATGAGTCATCAAATTTTAAAGAGCCATTGTTGTTGTAATTACGGTTGTTGTAATTGTTTTTCAGTGCTTGTTTGTCTTAGGCGAGCTGCTCTCATTAACAGACAGACGCCTGCCAGTTGGCGCCTTCCCATTGGACACTCGCCCCAACTAGCCGCCTCACATGCTGGCCCCATCTTTCTTTTCTCATTTTTAATAGCCACAACGCGACGTTGAACGCCCCGCTTATTAACGCGTTTCCTGTGGGCGTGGCAGCTTCCTCAATTCGCACACAGTTTTCATATAAAACGAAAAATGGTTTTTCACTCACTCGCACACTTTTTTAGTTTTTTTTGTTTTTTTTTTTGGTTGGTTATTAATTATGCTTTGAACTTTAGTTTGTTGTTGTTGCTGTTGCTGTTGTTGGCTCCTCAGCTTTTTTGGGGAATTAAATTATGGCGAAGACACTGAAAGGGAGCAGCAACAACAACAGCAACAACAATCAAAATGGCTGCAAGATAAAACAAGAGGCAACATGGCATAATGGCCTTTGCTTTCATTATAGGACCAGCAACACCATCATCGGCAACACCAGCAGCCGCATAAATATTTAAGCAACTGACAATGAGATAACAAGTTAAAACGGTAGCAAGTGAGCGGACTAGCGGGTTAGCGGGCCAGCGAGCAAGCGAGCAAGCGGGTGGCAGCTAGCGAGGAGCAAACTAAAATTTATAAGCCAAAATGAGGTCAAATTTTTTATGCCAGTTAGCCGGGCAGGCACTCAGACAGCAGCCAAGCAAATGTTAGTAGTCCATTCATCAGTTAGCAGCAGCGAGTAAATTACGTCTGTTGTTCTTGTTGTTGCTGCTGTTGTTGTTGGTGGCGCTTTGTTTATTTCAGCTACAATTTCGCGAGCTTTTATCTTTTGCCGGCAAATGGCAAACAGAGTCAGAGCCAGAGCCAGAGCCAACGGATAAAACGCCCGAGAGATGACACAGACAGCGGAACAGGCTGAAATATTTATATGCGTGTTGATTTCTGTTTGCTGGATTTAACCTTTTGGCATTCGTCGTAGTCGTCGACATCGTCCACATCGTCCACATCGTCGGCGTAGTCGGCTCGACCCCTTTTTGGGAGCCACGTTCACAAGATGGCCACTTTGTGATAACACCAACCCAGCCCCAAGCAGCGAAAAGGGTCAAAAAGCGAACGAATGTGTGTTTGTTTGCTTGCTCCACTCTAAGCCGTGCACAGTGGGACACAATAAATATTTTTGTATTGATCTTTGAACAACAAAAATATGATAAATTTTTATGCGAGCTGTTATAAATCAGTCTCTAGGGTATATTCGTCTTTACAATGTTAAAAGAAAGAAGAGAAACAAATATCTGCAATTGAATAACTTGGTCAAAAAACTTTTTTTTAATACCATTTTAATAGAACAAACTTCTTAGACTAGATTTGATCATCATTTCATTTCTCCTGATTATATATTATAAATCGAACTAAAATGGTTATTCTTAATAGTAGAATACTAGAATATTACTACTACTACTTATGAATTAGAGAGCTTTTTAATGAAAAGTAACATAAGTCGGTTGGCAATTAAGATTGCAGAATAAAATTTAACAAACGGACTTTACTGTTCTAATGCCAAAAGTCCTTCCTTATGGACATTCCCGTAATATCGACTGTTAAATATTTGCTCATCACATTTTTAACTCTACATCCTTTAAATATTGATTTAAATTAAATTTTAATTTATTTTTTTATCAAAAAAAAAGATAAGAAGTAAAAATAATAAAGTAATAGCAGCTGAACAAGTTTATTGATTTCTTGTAAAATCCTCCATTTATTATATTTTTTTAGAATTTAAAAATTTGTGTATAGGAAAGTTATGTGCTGTAGTTTTTTGCGAGTGATGTTTTTATCAATCTTATATCTTTTATGTATTCTTGCTTTTTGATTTACTAGATTTCAAGGCATATTGCGTCGTCCTCGTTGAGCTTTTCATTAAATTAAGGAACTGTGCTTATAACTGACATTAAAACGTTGCCGAAACGTTTTTTTCCTTTTTTGATATCAAGTTGCTTAACAACAATGATAAACTTTAAGCTGTCGATTTAAAAGTAACGTTCCTTGTGTTTAAATATAAAGCTGCTCGCCCACTGTGCCAAATTATTGCCGGTGCACGGAGCTCATACCCATGCCCAAGTACCGCTGCTCGCCTTGATAAATGCACGCTCATTTAACTTGGCTATAAATATTCTAAGTCACCGCCGAGCGGCGAACGGCAAACGGCGAGCGTCAAGCGGCGAGAAACGAGAAACGAGCGGCAGCATCAAGTTGTTAAGATAATAAACTTTGTAATTAATTTTGCATCGTTAAATGTGCAGCACACACCTAGCCAGCGACGCCCTGCCCCACGGCCACCCCTCCGCCCCTCTGCCCCATCTGCCACCCCTCTGCTCCACCGCACTCTGCTCATATTTCGCCCGAGCTGCCCATAGAGCTTCTTTTCTTTCATTTTTTTGTTGTTTTTTTTTTTTAATTTTTCTCTTCTCTAGTTTAATTTCACTTTGGCATTTTTAATCGCCTGTTCATCGCACTCTTTAGCCAGACTTTGGCTGGCCAGCTGCCATGTGTGCTGTTGTTGTTGTTGTTGTTGTTTAGTTGGTGTTGTTGTTATTACTGCTGTAGCTTTTGATGACGCCTAATTGACTCGACTCACGAATTTTTGCGTTCGGTTTGGTATTCACTCCTCAGAGACTGCGCCTTTTACAGCTACGCCAAAACACTTTTATGCCTCGCGGGTAGAATATAGCATATAGTATATAGTATTCGAGTATGTGTGTGAATATATAGTAGTGTGTGTGTGTGTGTGTGTGTGTGTGTGTGTTTGTTGCTATCTCTGTCCGCATCTTCCATGCATATTCATATTCATAACTTTTTATGAATTCATCATCTTTATCGCGCCATAAAAGTTGCATAATCATAAAAAATTACACCAAGAGTTGGACAGCCCGGTTGGTAAACTTGGATGCCCATGGCCCGAAACCAGAAGCCAACATCCAACAGCCAACAGTTAGCGGCCAACAGCAACAGCTGTTCATCTACCCACCCATTTGTAGTTTTATTATGCTCATTACACGTATTTATTTCTTCCTATTCCTTTATTCTTGCAGATACCGCTGGCGAACTGGGCTGGACATTCACCCTAATCATAGTTTCAATCATATCAGCTCTTATAGGTGCTATTGTAATGGTTATAGTTCTAAGATGTAGAAGGTAAGTCAATCAAACTCAATGTATATAGTATATAGTCACATGCCAACTTCCCGCTTAGAACATATAGTATTCTCGTAAATGTGGGGTTGCTTCTGAAATTTGTGACAAATGTGAAATTAACGTACAATTATCGAGTTATAATATCGAGTTCCGCATAACTACATACATAGATGTGTAGATGGAATTGATAAATTTGTCTGACTAATTGGCAACGTGAATACGCATATCAAGAGAAAGAAAATGTTAACAAACTTTGCCATAAAAATTAATTGCTATATACAAATTGCCAAAAGGAACAAACACAAAGACATTTTAATAAATAGCCAGTTTGGCATTTACAAAGAGAAACGCCGTAATTAGTCACATATAGTACACTGCTACGCATCTGAATAGGGTGATATACTATATAGGAAACTAATAATACCAATACCAAACATTTTAGTCCTCTTTATTCTTCATAATATCATTTGTACAGTAATTTAGTATTATGTATTATAGTTGTATAGCAGTCTGTCTGATTTCCGACTTGTTTGTATGTATGAACATCGATATATTTTTAACTACAAAACCTAGAGATATCCCTCTTCGCAATTCCATTTCTACTTTATACATAAATCGAGTGTATAAGAAACTGTTTATATTAGTAATTTTACAAAACTATCATAGAATCGATAGTGCTAACGCGAAAAACTTTACAAAGTCATTGAAGTTATTCAATAATCAATACATTTTAAATTTTATTGACTATTTCATATACTTAATAATGAAGTTATTTCTATAAATTTGCTCAACAAAAGATATGATGGTTTAGTTACTATTTTGTACTTATAAAGTAATTCTCCAGATATGATGGTTTAGTTACTATTTTGTACTTATAAAGTAATTCTCAAATTGGAATATAAACCAAACCGTACAATTAAACGCCTAACGCCTACACCCCTACATATAGAATATGAGTAGATTCTTCACAAATTCTATTCAGATGAGCAGCACTGTGTACGCGGAGCCTGGCTAGCCATGTACTTGTAGGCATGTTAAATAGACACATACATGGGCCGGAGGGACATTCAACTCAACCTTCTGCGACCCCGACCATCCGTCATCGGGGTCCAGCGCGACATTTACAAGTGAGACGCTGAAATTGAATATCTGGGAAAATATTGTAAAAATATCTGACTGTGTTTATCTGTAAGATTTACAACGCATAGCCCACACCACACACATACACGCGCACACAAAGCATACACATACACATATACATACATACATGTGTGGAAGGCATGTTGAAATATGCGCAAAAAAAAACACTATTAAAGCGACTGTGGCAAATCTATTAAACACCAACAACAATTCAATTAAACGCCCACCAAACCTTTAAAGTGAGGCAAGAACAACAGCAATAACAACAACAACAATAACAACTACAACAATAGCAACAAAAATGCTTTATAGCGGCACATACAAAAATAATCGACGAACAAAACAAAAGAACATGGAATTGCTTTATTACTTAATTGCTCTTTAAGAGAAACACACAACAACGGCAACAGCAACAACAACAACAGCAACAATTATAGCAACAATAACATTAGCAGCTGTGGCGGCGGCCACATTTTCGCCAAAAGCGTTTTGGCTTATAAAAAAAAGTGTAGAGTGGGTCACACACAAATCGCGACAAGATACATTTAAATGGGCATTCATGTGCTTCGGAATTGCTGGGGAGGGGGAGGGATCCGCTGCGAGGGTGGGGGCGCTAGTTGGCGTACACGCGAGCCCAAAATTAACAGAAATTTTGCAGCGCGCAGGCGCCGCCGGTCATGTGGGGGCCGCTCGCTGGCAGGCGGTGGCTGTGGCGTTGGCGACCATTGGTGGCAGTGGCATGTTCGCGTCGTACGTCGCGTCCAATTAAATTGTCATGTCGTCGTCGTCGTCGTTCGTCGTCGAGTCGCATTTGGCGGCATGTTTGCATAAAATTAATTTCTGAATAATTTGCCAAGCAAACAAACAATAAAAGCAAAAAATTAAAACTATCATTGGCAAACCGAAATTTCCATACTCTCCATAATTGTGCAAATAATTGGACAATCGCCCATTTCCCTTGATCAAATTTGTTAAGAAAAATGGGAACTTCCACATGATCATACATGAATAGCTAAGAAGGTTTTCCATTTCACAATGTGAATTCGTTCCTTGAGTAGGCACTCGGTTCGAATCACCCCGCAAACATCTTGACAAGAAGCATGATTACAAAAATGTCAAAGTTATCATAAGATTTAATAATTGTCCAAATAGGACAGATCTTAAATAAAGAATAAAGATTAAAAAAAATATATTTAATTAATGAAAACTAATATCAAATGTGTGATGTGTGAAATATCGCTTGAAGCTTTTCAGATTTTGTAGAATAAGCCCCTGTACCAAGTACTTATTGATTTGAATATTATGTTATAGCTTTAGTGTCCACCAATCACAGAATTTGTTGAGCTATAAAGCCATATCCTATTAAAATTTCATAAGCTTAGTGGCTGATGGGATGCTTAGAATATTCCATTTCTATCAACCCCTATACTAAGTACTTACTATAATTCCTCAGTAAAACTACTTCAGTTTTCAACTTGTACAAAATCGGGACCGCCATTTTTATTTAAACTGCATAGATCCTTAATATTATAAAAGTATTTCTTTAATAATTATTCGTATTCACTAAAACGATTATATTCCGATAAATCTAACCAATTCTAAATATGATTTGACAACTCTATGATTTGACAACTCTATGATTTGACAACTCTATGATTTGACAACTCTATTGATATTTCTTAATATTTTGCACTCCAATAGAATTTAAAAGATAATTACTCAATAAATAAATGGGCTCATCTATGGGCTCATCAGATCATTTGAAGACTTTACTTGAAGCAGCCCGTTCTCTTTATTATTGCAATTGAAAGATTTAAATGTCTATGCATATTATCTACAAAGATAAAAGATTATCCTTTCTAAGCTGGAAATCATCAGTAAATTGTCATACCCTTCGCTAGGGTATTATTCGTAAATGCCAAATGCAGGTTTCAAAAAGTGACAAGGCATTGAGCATTAAGTGCTGATGTTAAATGCACAACTAAGTAGGGTGGGGTGGGTTGGTGCTGGTGGTGGTGGCGGTGGTTGTGGTTGTGTCTGGCAATTCAACAACTTTGACATTATTGTTGTACGCATTCGCACGCCGCTTAAATCAACTTACACGGCAATTTTTGCATTTAGCCGCCCTCCTGGCCTCCTCTCTGGGCGAATCCCCCCACCACTCGGCCGCTGTTTGCCTTGCCGTCAGCTTTGTGTCGACTAAGTCTGTCAGCTTGCTGAGCCTGTCTGTCTGTCTGTTTGTTTTTCCATTTGTCCATTAGTCCGTCGGTCTCTTGACTTGTTTTCGCAACTGTTTTATGTCACTGCGGCCGTCGCCATGACGTGTTGGCTGCCAAATTAGCAGCAATTACATGTAATATCGGTTACACTTATTTGCATATCGGGGCAATTCTTGGCCGGTTAATGGCGCTATAAATTTAGCGTGTTGCAAGTTGCATTTGTGTTTCTATGCAGCATGATTTAAATACCCACATGCTGTAGGCCATTGGATTGAGTTGCCATTTGAATGGCCAGCGTTTCTTTTGAGCTACTTGTCTCGAAAATAAGCAACAACAATTCCAAAGTGCCATTGATTTGAAGTGCACCTGAATGGCTTTTCAAGCTCGCAGTGGCAGTTGAGCGCATTTTGAGGTCAGTCTGGGACAAATAGCTTCATATATGGCCATAAAATGTTACCTTACGGAGGATATTTCGTAATTGAAATAAAAGTATGCAAACAATTCCATTATTTATTGACACAGCTCCTAAGTAGTGTTTATTTATGAATCGAGGAGTTGGTTTGAACGTTTTTTAAACGTTCCTTACTACGGAAGGATAAAAGTAAAAGCAAATATTTGCTTAAGGCAATTTGTCTCAAATCAATATGAATACTGTGAGCCAAATCTTTGATACTCTTAATTAGAGAAATGAGGCTACTCGTATCAGGGCAATTATATACTCTAGATTTCTAAAGAATCAGTTTACTGTCTACACTTCAACATCTACTCTGATGTAATGTAAAAGAAACATTTCTTATTCTTTCAACTTATAAATGAAACTTTTGTTAATATTCTAAGAATTAGATATAAAGTAATGTTTTTTTTTAATGGTACTAAGCCTTTTTGTTAAAGATATTCATATATTTATTCTTAATTTTTGACACTCTTGGACGTCAAACAATACAGTTAAAACTTAACTGTTGTTTCGATGTTAAATGCGGGTCATTTCTTAATTACTTATATTAATAAATAATCGAACAAATCTTGAATTTAAGCTCTCCACTTCCTTAAAGCCAAATAATAAAAACGTAGAGAAAAGTTTTTTTATATTTGTGAAGTTGTTTCGTCTTTTGAGCAGCGCCCAGTGGTCGATTCCATAGGCCAAAAATAAAGAAATTAATGTCGGAATTTTGCCGCCAAATGTATCATCACTATCTCACAAAAGAACCAGCAGTTTTTTCTTTATTCCATCTGTATTTGTTACGAATAGCTTCAAAAATAAGAGTATTTTGACAGGTTGAATTAGCAGTGTAGGGGACTCGAAAGTGAAGTCAAATTAAATTAAATCAGTAACTATACCCCCGAGTTATATGGGAGCTATAATGAAATTTCGTTGGATGCTTAAATGGATACAAACTTCAGTTCGGATAAAAAATACAAAAAATTATTTACTAGGAGTTCATTTTGAATCGGTCAGTTATATGGGATCAATATAATAAAGTCGTACATATTTGGACATACTATTGTTATCTTACTACATATATAAGCCTATGGCAAAAGTTTCAGAACGATAGGTCCACTGTAAGTATTTTTGGCCGCAGATTCCATACAAGACCGACCACTGTGCAGCGCTGGGCAAGTGCCCAGGAGCTCTCTTACAATCAATGAGCTTTAACTTTAAGCGCTCTTCACATTAGGATGCTTAAAGATATAAAATATTGATATGGCTCATATACCAACAATGGTGATCAACTGCAGTACTACATTGTTTAATACTCAACACAATATTTAGAGCCAATTTGTTTTATTTATGTTAATAAGAAACATATTTGTTAGTCTTTTTTTTTAAATAAAATGTAAATATAAACAACTTTGTGGTTCTACGCACTTGATCTAGATTTTATACATGTTTTGTTTGTGCTTAAAGACAATGTTGTCTATTGTTTAGCAATTTACTGGCTCGAGTATATATTTTGAACATGCATTTGTTTTAAACGACTTTAAATCACGGCACAAGCCTCCACTGATTTTGCAGCTCAGCTTTCAAAGACTTTAGCCCACACCTAGGGGCAAGGCCTTCAGGCAAAGAAACAAAATTTTCATTTGACAATAACATTGTTAAATTGAACAAACGTGTTGCCGTCGCACAGATTCAAGTTTAAAGCGTTTAATGCTTTTAAGGCATTAAATTGCGGCCCCATAGAGACGCAAAACATAAAAAGGCGTGTTCAATTAGCATGCGCAGAAATCGAGCGGCGAAAAACAAGCGCAGCATAAAATTGAACATAGCTGGCAAAAGGAAAATGCTGCAAAAACACCAACCACTACATTGTGGAAAAAAGGAAAAACAGTTGGAAAATTAGCTCAGGCAAGGCAAACACACAGCCCCAGAGACTGACAGACGGGCGGAGAGACAGACAGACACAGAGGCAGGCAAGCAGGCAGACAGGAAGCAGGCAGGGAGCGAGCAAAATGAACGGTGAGCTTGTTCAATTAAATTGAATTGAAAATTCGAATGCGAATGAGAAGCGTGCGCGGCAGTTCGGCCCAAGTTAACATTATAATCGATCAGCCAAGGTAAAGCAAACGAGAGAAACTTGGGCCGCGTGCTGCCTGAAATCAATTGTGAGACAGCGGCTGAGACAGCGGGACCGACAGTTAATTGATACGCACAATCCATTAACTAAGACTCCATCCATTCGAATATCCATTGCATTCGATTTGATTCGACATTGCAGGCACATGATTGCACATGACCCAGAAAACGTTCGGTGCAGCGAGTAAATGAGGCAAAGATAATAAAGAATTTTCACTGAACAAGAGAGAAAAAATCGATTTTCGCGCTAATGGATGACCGATGGAAAACTGTTATGAAAATTGATGTCGTTAGAAAGTTCAAATTGTTCAACGGACGAGCGATTGACGCCCCTAGCTGCTGTTCAGGACAACAAACACCTGCAGGCTGACATCAACATCATCATCGTCATCGTCATCAACAACAGCTTCAGCTTCAGCTTCAACTTCAACTACAACATCCACATCCACAGCGAGATCAATAGACGCCCCAAGTTGGCAGGCGATGTCTGCAGCCCACAAATTGTGCTGGCAATCCGGTTTAAATGCCAACATCTTCACTTTTCAACGATTTTTTTGCTAATCTAATCACATCGTTTGTGTCGTAACAAATGGCGACGTTGTTCTTGTTGCTGTTGTTGTTGCTGTTGCTGCTTTTGCTGAATTGAATGCTGCTATAATGCAATTCTGTTGTTTCACAGCAAATGGAATTGTTATCTGCTTATATTTTGCAGTAGTTTATCTGCGTGTCATTCCGTCACACGCAGACATAAATGCAACAAACGCAAAAACAAATAAACAAACAGGCAAGCCAGGCAGGCAGGCTGGCAACCAGCCAGCCAGTCAGCCAGTCAGCGAGTCAGCCAGCCAGCTGAGTAAAGTTATTTGCGTGGCTGTCTGACTCGCTGGCAAGTTTGTGTCTTAAGTCTTTCGTTCTGACGCTTGTCGTTTGTAACGCTTTGGCATTGACAATTCGACATTTACTTTGTACAAATTTATGTTTACGCTAATTTCGATTATTAATTGCAACATTTTCTTTCTTATTTCTTTATCTTTGCAGAATTAAATCAGCGAATGCCAATGGTAAGTGGATTTAAATTCTATACAAAGTTTGGGGTGGGTGGAAACCTCAACAGGTGTCAGGTGTTGATGTCTGTTTTAACAACTCAGCCAGTTTCCAGTTAATTTATTAAGTTGACAAAAATTGCTTTAATTGGCATTTAATATTTTTCGAACAAGGCATAATATAACTATGTGCTTATACATACAAATTTCAATTTTTATATTAATTTTGTAAATGTGTTTTATTGGCATAGCTAATGAAAAAAGTAATTTATTTATTTATTTTACTGCTAACTATCATTCCACATACTTAGTCGATTAGCATCCCAGCAGACGAAAACTCTAGTGTAGTAAGTGCATTTAAATTCTCTATAAAGTTGAGATGGGTGGAAACCTCAACAGGTGTCAGGTGTTGCTGTCTGTTTTAACAACTCAGCCATTTTCTATTTAATTTATTAAGTTGACAAAAATTACTTTAATGGGCATTTAATATTTTCTTGACTATACGAGTTATATTCGTAGTATAATATACTCGTGCTCATACATACATTATTAAATTTTAATATTAATTTTATTTTAGACTGCAGACCTGACACAGTTCGAAATGGGCATTTAAATGTATTTCTCGGCATAGCCAATGCTTAAAGTATTTTCGACATTTGTTATCCTGATAACTATGATTCCACACATTTAGTCGAGTAGCATCCTAGCAGAAAAAAACTCTATCAGATTTTTATAACGCGAATTTAGCTTTCAAAACAAAAGAGAGTGGTTTTATTTTGTTTCCAGTTCCACTTCTCACTCTCCTACCTATATGAAAGAACCTATACTTGATAAATGTCGTAGGATACCTTTTTACAATTCGTTCTTATCACTTCGTCTCCTTTCCAATTTTCCTGTGCTCTCAAATCCGAGAACAATCTGTTATACTGGTTCGACTTCAAAAAGCACCCCTTCTTAATTGACTTTCTTTCTAAAAATGTATACAGTTTTTTAGTATAATATTTTTTCCAAGATCTCCTATCTGTACCACAACCACAAAAGTGGAAAACTATAATTTAATGAATAGTTTTTTTTTATTTTCGAGTGACAACTTGCTTGAGCTATTTAGCCGCCAGTAAAGTATACGCGTGACAGTTGACAATCGAACGTAAGCGCCTTTTAACTAAGACTGTTGAAGTCAATTAAGGTAGCTCTGATATTTTTGCTCTTTAAAGTGTAGCAGGGGTGTTAGGCGTTAAATATGGAAATTGAAATAGTCATTCATTATTATGTTTCTTATATTTCCTTCAATCAGGCTTTCTATCAGACTTCGGCTCATTGAATAGGGAATCAACGACACAAGTTTCTAAATTTGTTGTAGCAATACTGACCCTGACATCTTCACGTTTATTTACGTTTCACCAACAATTCCTGTTAATTTAAGGATTAGTCGATAATGGAAATTAGCTGCAGAGCTATGAAAAAAAAAGAGGCACGTTCATGACAACAGTTTGTTTGGCCCGCGCTGACTGCAATGCCCCAAAAATAAACTAAAGAGTGAACAAATATTTTTACATGCGACTTTGCGCATTTCCAAGAGGGAAATTTTTTCTCACAGACAGGCACATTTTGAACTGCTGGCAACTGGCAATTGGAAACTGGCAACTGGCAACTCGCAACTGGAAACTGGCGCTTGTCGCGACCACCTACTTCATTGGCGGGCTTTGGGAAGACGGCGACATAATCACGCGCTTTAAAAGCCGCTGACAGTTTAACGATTTGTTGCAATGTTTACTTTTTTGCTAAAGAGTTGCGCCCACTTTTGTTTTTGGCAACGGCTGCTGCATGCGTATTGGCAAAGAAATGCCACCACACACACACATACATACACCAAACAAACATCAATGGATGTCGCAACTTAAAAACTTCTTGTCTGAGGAGCAGGCAACAAACAAAAAAACTTGCGCCGAAAAAAGCACAGTCAGAAAGAAAACGGAGGAAAAAAAACAACGAAACAGGCATTTTCATGGGACAACTAATTGGCTGCTGTGACATTAAATGCCGTCAACAATTTGTCCTCCATGTCGATGTCGAGGATGGAGACGGCGCTGACTCCGACAGCTACAGAAGACAGTGAAATTGGCGCCAAATGAAAAGAGAGAGTTGGCTAAAGGGTCGCGGTCGAACTGATCGCTTTTGGGGGGCGCTCGTTCGATCGTTTGTCAATAATTCGCCTACTGAAGTACAGCAACAAGAACAGCAAAAACAGCAACAGCAACAACAACAACTAGCAACGGCCAGCAACTAAATCACAAAAAGTTTTTTGCACGATTTCCGAACGTGTTTGAAGTTAGTTTGTCGTCACACACAGAACCCAAACAAATTCGAATGAAAAGCCAAGTTGAAATTCGCGACCCGACCATGACAATTGTTTGCCTTAATTTGTCTACAAATTTCTTCAAAGTGGGTTGGCTGGCTGCCTATCTGCCTGTCCGTTCGTCCGTCCGTCTGTCTGTCTGTCTGTCTGCCTGCCTGGCTAGCTTTCCATATGCATTTTGGGGGAACCGGAGGCACGTACGAGCATTTTGCGCATGTGCGGCAGTTGCACGTTAGTGTCTGTGGTTTCCATTTCAACAGCAGCCGCAGCCGCAGCCGCTGCAACAGCAGATTTGTTGCACGAACGTGAAGTTCATGCATCATCAAAATTTGTAAGACTTCTTCAACTGCTCCCACCTCTCGTCCAAGAAAACAAATTAAAATGTTGCCACTTCTGCTACAATTTGCCGCTCACTGGATTGCATTTTTCGTTCGTTTGCGGAAGTGGATCGCCCGATTTCTGCTGAATTGCATGCCTCTGCAGAATTATGCAATTAAAAATAAGAAGAAGAGCTCCATATCACAAACAAAAAATAAATAAAAAGGCATCGAGAGCTGGGCTATGAGTTAATTAAACGAAACGATAGAATGTCGATCTTTAAAGACTTTATTGCTACACCTATGTAGGAAAATAAAAAGTAAGTTTATGACCAAAAAATAAACTTACACTTTGATTCAGAAATATGTTGAAAATAAACAGCTGAAAACAATTACTTGAATTTAAATTCGTGTTAGGAAGAAAGTTTAATACTTTTAGAACTATGTATCCTTAACTTTATCCAAATCCGTAAAAACTTTGGTGCTTCCCGAAACAAACCTTATCCTTTCCCGGCAAATTTAATATAACTTGTTTCAATATCAATGCCATTGGACTAATATTATAATAGTAAACAAATATGTAGCCGGAGAAAATCAAATGTTTATTATTTGTAACTAAGGAAAATCTTATACTTTTCACCACGACTTTGTCAAAGACCAGCTCTAAGGTAAATTATATAGTGCACATATTTTGATAAAGCTTCAGATGATGGTGAAGTGCCATACCAAACTTAAAAATAACTTTTTTGATTCCGATATCGTAATAAAAAAAACAGTTTTTGGTACTGGGATTGATTTGTTCGATCGTTCCAATGACAGCTATATAATACGGCTATATATGGTTTATTATAAACTTTCACTACATATAGATAAGACAAGTCTACATGCCAAGTTTGATGTCGCTAGCTGTTAAGGTTTCAAAGTTTTCAGTGTTCATACAGACGAACAGATGAACGCACGGACAGACAGGCATGTCAGTATCGAGTCGTATCTTCATGCTTATCATTTTTATACGCTTACTCTGGCAGCCTTCTAGTACTGGGTAGAAGAGTATGAAAGAACTACTGAGCTAGTGTGCGTAACATTTATTGTTGTATTCTAGAATAAACTGTAATTAAAGTACAATTCGCTGCAATTAACATAACAAGACACTTATTTTCTCCCCAATTTGAAAAGTCTTTCAAAATTTAATGTTGCACATTAGCTCCATTTGAGCTTAGCTGCACCCTCCAGAGATGCCAACTGCATCGCCATAAATACTCTACACACACGTAATTATTTAGTTGTTAACCCAACTGCACCATAAACATATATCTACTCAAACGCTGTTTTAACTGCATTTGCTCAACTGACTCGTGAATTTGTGTGTGTGTGTGTGTGTGTGTGTGTGTGTGTGTGTGTGTGACTGCCATTATATAGCATCGCCTCACCTTTCACTCTCATTAGTCGGTTCGGAAAGTTGGCCGCGCACCTCGAAGCTCAACCAAATTGGCGATCCAACTAATTAGCCGAATGCATACGCAGCAGCGGCTCTTTGCCAATTTCCCGAGTTATGCATGCACATGCATAATTTAGTCATTTCGGTCCCACTGTGTGCTTTGTCTATATACATATATACCGGTATATGTATGTACAGATGTGTGTGTGTGTGTTTGTTTTATGTTTATGATTTACGTACTGCAGCGCGCGTGTGAATGGCGCATACCTACTCCAGCTGGCAATGGCTATGTATATGGCCATATAGCTAGCTATATGGCAGTGGCGATTATTACCCAAACCTTATCGTCCATAGGTGCTCATATACATGCATTTTGTGCATGTCACAAACGCCACAGACAGACTCGGAGTAAGAGTCAGGCCCAGAGTCAGAGTCAGAGCCAGAGCCAGAGACCAACCAACCAACCGACCGCTGACCAGGCTAACCAGGCGATGGTAGTTGGCTTTAATGGCCAGTTTTTGCGCAGTGTTAACGATGTTGCCGCTGCTGCCGCTGCTGCTGTTACTGCACAACAACACCAACAAGAAAATGTATATATATATATATATATATATATATATATATATATATATATATATATATATATATTTATAAAATGAAAAAAAGCGGCAAACGACAAGCGGAGCAATAGACGGCCAACGGCCAACGGCATTGCACTTACGCTTTTTGCTCGACTCTAGCCGCTGGCGTTGCAGCAACAACATCGCCAGCAACAGCCGCAGTAGCAACAGCAACTGCTGCTGTTGCTGCTTTTGCTGTTACTGCTGCTGCCTTATCTGCCAACGCTTATCTCGCTCATATGCCTGCCAGCCACAATTCCAACAGCAGCCACAGCCGCAGCAGCAGC